GGAGGTGGTGGACTGAGTTAGTGAATACTGGGAGGCTTTGACGAGTACCCTAAGGCAAGCCGTTATGAAGTTTAGATGAAGTTCCAAAAGAACGTCTGTGGGAAAAAAAATGCGATTATATATATTCGGCCCAATAATTTGGGCTTAACAATGAGCCCAAATTGAAATTATTTAAAACAAATCAAAACAAAATAAAATTAGATAAAAGATTTGGAAAATTAGCCAAAGAGTAACCGACTTACTTTACCATATTCTTCAAAATTTCCTACTATCTGAAAAAATCGTGCACTCAATGTATTGAGACGTCAAGTGATGTATTCGAAATTGAAATGCGAAGCATAAGAATATTGAGCGATGTATCCGAAATTGAGAAACGGTGTATAAGGACGTTTAGTGGAGTACCAGAAACTGAGACGTGGTGTATTGGATATTTTTGAGATGTCTCTATATTCCACCAAATATAAAGATTTTTTCGAGAAATATAATTATTTTTGTCATTTTATACTCAACATTAATTGAGATGAGAAAGAAAGACATAAAACGCATTCAACGATGCGATTTATGAGTAAGTTTTAGTGTCTTCCCATTCATTGTTGAAATTACGTTATGTACAACTTTTGAGTGAACGTGATTTACGAGTAAATTACTCTTTATGCATCAAACGCATTCAGTGAATGCGATTTATGAGTAAATTACTCTTTATGCATAAAAACGCATTTAGTGAATGCAATTTATGAGTAAATTACTCTTTATACATAAAACACATTCACTGAGTGCGATTTATGAGTAAAATTACGCTTTATACATAAAATGTGAATGCGTTTTATGACTAAATTACTCTTTATGCATAAAATGCATTCGTCGAACGCGAATTATGAGTAAACTACTCTTTATATGTAAAACGCGTTCAGGGAATGTGATATATGAGTAAAATTTTGAATCTTTATATAAATTGTTGAAATTACTATATCACCCCTACTTTTTATGCATAAAACGCGTTCATCGTATGCGATTTATAAATAACATTATGTGTACTATTATAAATTATTGAAATTACTATATTACCCCTACTTTTTATGCATAAAATGCATTTAGTTGCTTTTTATGCATAAAATGCATTTAGTTGCGTTTTATGAGTAAATTACTTTTTATGCATAAAACACATCCAGTGAATGTGATTTACGAGTAAATTACTCTTTATGTATAAAACGCACTCACCGAATACGATGTAAAGTAAATTACTCTTTATGACTAAATACGTTTTATGAGTAAATTACTCTTTATACATAAAACGCATTCACTAAATGTGATTTATGGGTAAATTACAATTTATGACTGAATGCTTTTTAAGGATAAATTACTCTTTTTGCATAAAACACATCCAGTGAATGTGATTTACGAGTAAATTACTCTTTATGCATAAAACACATTCAGTGAATGCGATTTATGAGTAAATTACTCTTTATGCATAAAAACGCATTCAACGAATGTGTTTTGTGAGTAAATTACTCTTTATTCATAAAAACGCATTCAGCGAATGCGATTTATGAGTAAAATTAAGCTTTAGACATAAATGTGAATGTGTTTTATGACTAAATTATTCTTTATGCATAAAACGTATTCGCCGAAAGCGATTTATGAGTAAATTACTCTTTTACGCGTAAAACACGTTCAGCGAACACGACTTATGAGTAAAATTTTGAATCTTTGTATAAATTGTTGAAATTACTATATCACCCCTACTTTTTATGCATAAAACGCGTTCATCGAATGCGATTTATGAATCACATTATATGTACTATTATAAATTATTGAAATTACTATATTACCCTTACTTTTTATGCATAAAATGCATTCAGTTGCGTTTTATGAGTAAATTACTTTTTATGCATAAAACACATTCAGTGAGTGCGATTTACGAGTAAATTACTCTTTATGCATAAAAACGCATTCACTGAATACGATGTATGAGTAAATTACTCTTTATACATAAAACGCATTCACTAAATGCGATTTATGGGTAAATTACTATTTATGACTGAATGTTTTTTATGGATAAATTACTCTTTTTGCATAAAACACATCCAGTGAATGTGATTTACGAGTAAATTACTCTTTATGCATAAAACACATTCAGTTAATGCGATTTATGAGTAAATTACTCTTTATGCATAAAAACGCATTCAGCGAATGCGTTTTGTGAGTAAATTACTCTTTATACATAAAACACACATACTAGAGTGCGATTTATGAGTAAAATTACGCGTGAGACATAAAATGTGAATGCGTTATATGACTAAAATACTCTTTATGCATAAAAAGCACTTTTGGAAGGGGAGTTATGAGTAAATTACTCTTTACGCGTAAAACGCGTTCTGAGAACTCGAGTTATGAGTAAAATTTTGTGTGTTTGTATAAATTGTTGAAAATATTATATCTCCCCCACTTTTTATGCAGTGTGCACAAATGTTTAATAAACACACACACACACGCACACACACACAAAATTCACTATACATATACAATTGAAGCGAATTGTATAAAACAAGAAAGAGAGAAAGACAAAAGAGACTTGGACAGAGAATATACAATTGAACCACATTGTATAAAACGAGAAAGAGAGAAATTATATACAATTTAAATTTGTATAAAACGAGAAAGAGAGAAAGATAAAAGAATTTGGTCAGGAGAGTATTTTTATTTTATAATTATAAGTGTATAAGACGAATATATATATATATATATATATATATATGTATATTTGCATGTGTATATAAATTTTCTCTAGCTTTATACAAACAAAAACACAATTTATACATTTTGTTTCTGTTTGTATAAGCAAGAGAAGCGAGGGTGACGAGTGAGATCCAGGAGAGAGAAACGAAAATATATGTATTTATACAATTTTCTCTCGTTTTATACAAACACAAACACGAATACAACACATTTTATACATTTGTATTTGTATAAAAAGCGAAAGAAACGGACGAGATTCCACCAAGTAGAGTGACGAAAATAGCTATAGTTTTTGATAAGATACACTTAAATCAAAATATATTTATACCATTTAATTTGAATTAATAATTTGCTATCATATACGATTCTCAATTAAATACTCCTACTTGGTAATTTTCTTAACTTGACACCAAATCAAGTTATGTCAACCCATAAGTCGAGATTCTTTCATTATTTTACTTCATTTTTAGTAATTCTTTTCTCTCTTAAGATTCTTCACTTTTTAATTCTTAATAACCTTTTTAACAAAAAATAATAATAATCTAAATTGTTGTTTTTTGCGTACACATAGGATAAGCTCCATTTAATATAATTATTATTTATTTGTGAATGAAGATAAAAATCCCACTTAAGCAAAATTTGTGAATGGTTTTGTAATTGAAAAAAATATGTAATAAATTTTAAATTGAGTCTCTCACTCTCATCATAGCGATCTTTGATAATTTGATTTTTTAAGTATTTTAAATAACAAAACTTATTCATTGTTATTAATTGTGCCAAGCTGATTTATGGGCAACTTTCACATATAGCAAATAAAAAATTTATATTTGTATGCTATAGCAAACTTTGCATAATTGCGCTCCATAGCAAACATAAAACTGTATAATTTGTTATACATATACAATTGTATAATTCGCTGGCCTAAATAGTATAATTCGCTGGCCTATTTCGCTGCAATTGTATAATTTGTTTTGCATACAATTGAATCGAATTAAAATGTATGTATATTGCATAATTATAAGTGTATAGCAAGAAGATATATGTTTTTATCAACTTATACAATAACAGAAACACAATATACACACTTCTGTTGTATAAAACTAGAGAAAATTATATTTCACTGCAATTGTATAATTCGCAATTGAATAATTCGTTGGCCTTTTTCTCTGCAATATTTGAAGTAAAATGTTTGTAAATTGTATAATTAAGCGTATAACACGAAGATATACATTTTTGCATGTGTATATACAATTTTCTCTCGCTTTATACAAACAGAAACATAATTATACACTTCTGTGTATAAAGCGAGAGAGGCGAGCGAGAATGGAGAGTGGCGAGCGAGATTTTTGGGAGAGAGAAGCTGGCAAATTTTAGCTAATGTTTGCTATGGAGCACAATTAAATCAAACCCTAGCTATTCTATTTAATTTAGGTTATTAATTTGCTATTATATACAATTTTCCTTTCATTTAAATAATAAAATATCACGAGTCTTATGTATACTCCTTTTTTACTTGAGTATATTAACTTTATATTTTTTTAAATCATATTAATTAACTATAATATATAGAGTTACGTGTAAATCAGTATTGACAAGCGTGGAAATTACATTATTACTAGTGTTTGGGAGGAAAAGAAATATGAAAAAAGCAATTGTCAATATAAATATTTTTTTCTTCGATTAGTACATTATTTCTTATGAGACAAAAAAAAAAATAAAAAAAATAGTAATATATTTGACTTCTATGCACATAATAATTATTTATTATTTTATAAAATTTATCGTTAAAAGATTTCGACACGTTTTTATCTTATGTAAACTTTTAGTTCATCGTTTTCAATACAATACAATATGTAACATTCTCATCAGTATCACAGTTCTCTCTATATAATAAACTAAATATCAATCTTAACTTTCACATCTGCCTAATAATAACATCGAATATAAAAACATAAACAATGTATATGTTAATTAACAAAAAATAAAGCTTGAATTAGTTCAAATATCTCTATAACACCTTGATGATAATATCTATTAGAAAAATATTTTTTCTCAAAATAATTTTTTTATATTATATTATACTTTTTGATTTTTCATCTATGTTAGTATGCGATTATATCAAATTTTTTTCGTAAATGATGAAGTGTTTCTAAATCAGGATTGAAACTCGAGACCAGTAACGGTTCGATTAAAAAAAAGAAAAAAGAGAGGCCACTACAACTATAAAATAATCCAAACCGCTATGTAAATTCATTTGCCTTTGAGCGCACAAAATTAATTTCTCTCTCTTTACGTGTTTGTCTTTTCTTTTATCTAAAATAATAATGTTAGTAAAAATAATAATTATCTCCCTATATTAATTCTCAGGAAAAAAAAAGTTATTCATAAATTAAATTTATTCGTCTCAATCATCCGATCATCCACAAGCAAAAGCTACCGGTTTCTTCACCGGCAAAACTTCTCCGGTAATTCACCGATCATCGGTTTAGTCTATATTATTGTTTCTATTAAGTCCATTCATGTCCTTTGTTTGTTTGTTTGTTTAATTCTGTATTTTTTTCGGTGTTGTTCGGTTGATCGATTGTAAAAATTATTGGGTTGGAGTTGTTTTTCGTACCCGATCGTGGTTAGTTTATCAAATTTATGTTCTTCTGCGGTTGTTTTGTTCCCTTTCTGTGATTTTTTGTTGGGTTTTAGGCTTTAATTTGTTGCGATTTTTTTAATTAATAAGAACCCATTAATTCCGAGCTGATCTTCTCACCCGATCGTTTAGTTTTGTTGTATGCTGCTTTTTACAGATTTTGCATGAACAATTGTTTTATGTTTACTTATTATCTAAGATTTTTTGTTTGTTTGAACTTTCAGTTTTTTAATTTTGATTGCAAGTTATTAAGTGTATGTTTTTTTTTTGTTTTAATTATAAATAGATACTGGGGACTTGATATAATCTGAAGAAAGTAGAATCTATGGACTATTTACTCATGGATTAAGAAAAGACATCATTTTTGAGCATTGGAATGGAAGGGGTCAATGAATATTGATGATTCATGTGACCGACTCCGTCTCCAGTTTGGAAGTGAACCGTAGTTGTAGTTCTTTATCGCACACTATCCTCCCCAGATCCTACAAGTGGGATCATACTGGGTATGTTGTTGTTGTTGTTGTAAAGAAAATTGAATATTTGATGCACCAATTTGGTAAGCGGCTACATTAACTAGAGATCGTAAATATGGAAATCTTGCTGTCCAGAAAGCTATATGCTGCGTATAGGAGTTTCTGAAAGCATTAATTATGTATCAAAAAGGGAAGGAGGGAGAGAAGGAGGATAAAAGAGAGAAATTGGTTGGTCTATTACACTCCTGTGAAGTATTCATGGCTTAGTTTTGTTTGATATGATTGGAAGACAAGTAAAAGTGATATAGTTTTCTCTTTTATGGAAAGTTTGAAGTTGTACTTCCCTTCTTCACTTTCTTCCTTGCTAAATCACTGAGAAATCCTTATTCCTCTGTTTTTACCTCCATTCCACAAACATCTCTGTTTCACCCAAGTAAATGCAGCGAGTAATTTGACTTGAACCTTTTCATTATTCTTGTAATTCATCTACATATGTGTGTGTGCAGCTTCCTTTTCTTATTATTGTTAATTGTTTTAGTTCTATTTCCTCGCAAGGATGGAATTTCTAATTTGGTCTAAGAGGAACATTGACATTTAGCCACTCATAGTGGCAGTCAATATTATTTAGTAATACCTCTGAGTTCTTTATACCGTGTGGGACTATGCGGTGTATGTTGTTGTTCTTGTTTGAGTTGTTTATATCGAGTAAGGTTAGGATAATTTTTTCCCCAAGTTTGAGTCTGTGGGGCTTTTAAATGACCAGCATGAAAATCCTTTTCTCAAAAATAGGTGGCCAGTGTATTATTACTGTTAGGGAGTTAAATTCACCTATAGGATCTAGGGACCAAAGAAAGATGAGATGTGATGGATCCATGGATAGACAGGTGACAGGTCTCAGTGTGAATCTTATCCAATGAACTAGGATTGAGTCTCATAGTGATGCAATTTATTTGGATAAGAAATTACACCTTGTCCATGAATTTTAAGTCAAATAGAAATGGAGCTGAGAATCAGTTTTATGACATTCTACCATGAGCTATGCTGTTGATTGCACATTCCATTGTTCTGAAATTGATTCATGGATGTATTTTGAGTTCCTTTAGATATGCATTTTTATAGTTGGTATTGTGTTTTGCAAGGACATGAGACAATCATAACTTGTGTTTGCGGGGCCTTAATTGCATATAGTATTACAGTGGTCCCTAAAAGTCAAGATTTTGTTTATGCCATTGATGTGTAATATTGATTCAAAATTTGTCCAACACAAGTGAACCATGTTATATGTTTTATTTGCAACAGTATATCACTCAGCCGCAGAGTTAAAGACCTTGCAAGGACCTGAAGACATAATACTTTTCCTTTGTGGCTGACCAGATTTGAGTGAGACTCACTTGTTCATGTAAGCATTTTCTTTTTTTTTGCCTAAATTTTCAAATTGTTAGCTTTGAGATCTATTGTCCAAAGAATTTAGGTGGAGCATCTGCCTGCACCGTGTTGCTTTTAGATGTTGGGAGATGCCTCTCCTTGGATCACAGGAGGATGTGATGCCACATTTTATGATTTGTCAATGTTATTCTTCAAAAATTTGTCTCTTACATATTATTACTTATAACCAGCTGCTCTGTTTACATATTTGAACACTTCCAAGTAAGGAAATAACATTTCATCAGTCCCTTTATTCTACTCAGTGATACATTTTAGACCTGGGCAGTGTGTATTTGCTTATAATTTTTTTTTATTTTTTTTGGGCTCCATGTAAAGTTACTTCCCTTGGACTATTTTAAGAACATGAAAAACATTTAGCTTTATTTCATTAACTTCTTTATTTGAACAAAGTATATTGTTTGCTCTCTTTTATAAATGATCTTTTTTCTTGTATATGACCCTTTTCAGCATTTTGTCTAATTTCTTGACACCGTGATATGAACTTGAAGAAATATGAGGAACTAACTTAAATGACACTATGGAAACATTTATCCGAAGCCATGTGACTGTGGCTTTATATTAGCAAATATATATCTCCCATCTTTCTGCTAAGTGCCCACTTTGTAATCTCTATTTTTTGCTTAGGCACTGAGTTCCTAGAATCTATGTGCTAGCATTTTCCTATATTTCCTTTCAGAGTATCTAGGTTTAGATGGTTTTTCGTATGCAGGCTAGGGAAGCTGGCGGCTTATTATTGTCAGATGAAGGATATTGCCCTAGATTCATAAGAATGGGTTTCCTGGGCTAAATAGTTCATACTAGGGCTTTGTTGGAGTTGATTTGAGCTTAATATTGGGCATGTGATCAAATTCCATTTCTATTGGCATATCTTGTTTTGACACGACATAAGTTGATGTGAGGGCTTGGGATGAGGACATATTGCAAGTACAGGTGAGGGGTTTTGGTACCTACCTTTCTCAGTCCAGCCATATCTCTATCTATAGTACTTATTTTAAGGTTTCCTCATCTTACATTGTTCTTTTTTTTTTCCAGCTTTTGCTCTAGCATCTTCTTGTTCTTCCTTTCTTTTTTCAATCCCAATCCGGATTTCTTATCACCGTCTCAGATAATTAGGATAGGTCATAATTATATTTCTGATTCTTCTCATCTTTCTCACTGAAAAATAATCTGGGAGCTCCTGCAGGGTATTTATTTGGTGGATAGCTAAATAGCTTTGCTAATGTATAGAACCTCACGCATACATGATGTTGCAAACAACTTTCTGGTCAATCTGGCAGGTTATGAAGAGATATCATTCTTATGGTGTTCTTATCAAGATTGATTAGACTGAGCTGCTCTTATTGCATCTCTTACCCTTAAACCTTTTGAGTGTGAAGAGCTCATAGGAAATAGGTTCTGCTATTCTTGCAGAATTAATGACCTACCGAAAGATGCTTCTTGATGAGGTGAGAAGTAGTTGAAAACCTGAAGTCATTTAGACGCTGCCACTTATTGGGGGGTGAGAGTTTGTTGAAAAACTGAAGTTCATTTTACAGGCTGCCATTAACTGTGGGGAGAGCATTTCTGGAAAACCTGAAGTTCATTCTACAGGCTGCAGCTAACTTTCTGATTAGTTGTGGGATTCCTTTTAACTGCTGGTAGTATGGGGCCACTTTCACTTGGAAAGACTGTCTTGCTTATGCCATTTTTATTGATGATAGGAGATGAAGTTCTTGCTGACCATGCTGCTTCCAGAGCACATTTTTGACTGGTATTTGTTTACTTTTTCTGGAATGGTGGATCTGTTGGTAGTGACACGGGGGCAGATGTGTACGATCTTGTCTGTGAATACTTTGGATTGTTTGCTGGTGAATAGAACTGAATGGTGCACAGTTTGAGTGTGTTGCAACTTTATTACAATATCCCTTCTAAGGTTCAGGGTAGAGATGCTGAGCAGATACTGTAATGCTCAATAGATGCAACATTCACAGTTTTGAGTGTGTTGCAACTTTATTACAATATCCCTTCTAAGGTTCAGGGTAGAGATGCTGAGCAGATACTGTAATGCTTAATAGATGCAACATTCTCTCTATTTTCTCAATGACAGCTGGTTTTATCCTGATTCAATTGTATGCTGGTAATTCCTTTAATTGAGCCTATTGAGCTAGTGTTCCTGTGCTCCTTTGGAGTCTTAGGTTGTAATCTTACTCTATTGATGGCTTAGTTCGAAATAGAGTGAGAGCAATCCTGATCAATTTATTCTCTGAATGGCATCACAAGGCAGAGCTGGGGTCCAATGGAAGGTACATTTTCGTAGTTGTACCACTACGATGTAGCACATTGATGCTAGTATATTGCTAAGTGTGCTGCAACTCCGTAGAACACTTAAACATAATGTTGCTTGGTCTACGGAATATTGGAGGACAACTATCATAGTTGGTTGTGATGAATGAGAAAACACGCGTATTACCAGTTAGCCTCTGTATTTATGGTTGAGCTCCCATTGATGTAAGAAAGTTCTCTAACTAGTAACACATCTATAGCTTGGATGAGTTGTATCTAGTTCTTTGGGGCTCATTGGTACCTGTCACTATTCATCCTTTTGTACTACCCACAATCTTCATGAGGTGGTGCCTCTTATATTTCACTTTGCAAGTAGATGCAATGATGGAAGCTTTTAAAGCCATTTCACAGTTTTTGCTTCTATCCCTATTTTGCACTCTCAACATTTTGTACTAAACTTAGTCAATCATGAAGCATATCTGGTACTGTTAACAAATTTATTTCTTTACTTTCTCCCTCTGACAAGATTATTCTTAGCTAATCTCATACCATCATTATCCATTTACTTTTCTATCTCTCTGACAAGCCAACTTGTTTTGGTGCATTTCATACAAAAGATTGCAATTGCTTCTTTCTAAACTCTCATATGCTCTTTTACACTGGTACATCTCATAAAAGCAACATTAATAAGTGTTTCCAGAGACACTCTCGTACTCCTCCCCCACCCTTTGCTCTTCGTCCTGCATTTCTCTGAGTTCTGAACCTTGAAACAGTCATTATCAGAAAGATTGACGGACACAAAAATTGTAGTGGCTTCTCCTTAATGGAACATATTTCAGTGAGACTGCCATGGGATGAGGGAAACCAAATTGGCCATGTCTATTTGGTGGTATGGCTCGTCAAAGGTACTTGTGGTGATATGTTTCTCTTTTTAGCTTTATTAATGAGCTATCTTTAATATTTCGTGTCATTTTGTTGAAACAGCAGGAGTAGTCAAGTGGTTTAGCTTGTGTTCTTGTTTCCTATTAAATTTTGAGTAGATTCAACAGGAAAGGTCCTAGATATCCGTCTCCAGGATAAGTACAACATATACGTTACATTTTCTAATCCTTACTAAGTCAACATTGAGAAAGAAACTATCGTGACTGCATCAATTTTGGTTAAATTATATGCAATGGATGTATCATTACTATCATTAGCTTGCTTAGTGACATTTGCTCTTTAGGCTCATATATTCAGACAACTTGTCAGCTGTCCATGTGTTGGCTTTATTTTCTGGTTGCTCTGGGTTAATCTTGAACATGAAAGCGGCATAAAGTTTTAATGAGCTTAGAAATGATTCACATCTCTTTACCACAAAGGTCTTCTTACTTTAATCTTGCTTTTGAAATGGATAACACTGTATAATTCAATGATGTTGTTGTCTTTATAATAATACTTCCGCCATTGACCATAACGTACCTTTTTCATGTGAAAGATGCCACTTTTTGTGTAGTCCCAGTTAAATGCTCTTACTTGCCCCCCCCCCCCCCCCTCCCCCCCCTCAAGCAGGAGTATGGTAAGACTTCTTGGAGAATAATTTGGGAATGTCACCAGCCAGACCATCTTATCACCCTAATCATGAAAAGCTTGTATAGTTTCTAGGAAATCTTTCCGCATGTCAATTTTTAGAATTGTATACTTGTCTAAACGTATGTCTGGTGCAATCTGCCCAACCTTTGTATTAAGAATCTCCACAACTATGGCTTTCTTTGCAGTTGTGATTGAAAAGTGATCAGAAAACTCAGCTGGTTAGAATAATACCACCTCACCAACTATCGAGCCAACATCGTGTACTGTTCGGTTCCTAAAAGAGATTCCTTTAAACTTCAGGAAGTCCTCTCTTTTTCATTTTTCTCCAAAAAAAAGAAGTCCTCTCTTTTTCATTTTTCTCAAAAAAAAAAAAAGAAGTCCTCTCTTTTTCATGATCTTTTCCATTAGCTTGTTTTATAAGGGTGGTTCTCCTCTTTGAATCATCCAAGATGTATGCGTTTATACATTTCATTTATCAGTTCCCTCCTTATAGCACTTTCATCTATTTCTATCTCCCATAACCATCCCAAAAGGGCTCAGTTGAACATAGTTATTTACAGATGCTAATGCTTCCATTCTTACCGAGGCTCATCTGTTCGTATAGGAGCTCTGTCTCTATCCAGCTTTCGCCAACTCACCTGATGAAAATTTCCTATCTCATTAGGTTTTCAGTATTTTAAGGCACCAGTTCTACAATATGAAAATGTACATAAGAGCTTTTTCTGTCAAATACTTCTCCCTCCTTTTGACATTACTCTTCTTTTTCTATCCTTTCAATACTTTCTTGAGCTATAGTAGCCAAAGCTCTCCCTCCTTGAATTTGCCTCATAGGGAAGATCCAGGCTGTTCATAAGGAGTTCATGTGCAATCACCCCTTGGTAGTAGTTAGAACAATGGTTATTATGCACCTCCCAATGGTTTGAACTCCGATTTTGTTGTACCTGTTCTGAGCCAATACTCTGCCACCAACTATGTCAAGGTGTTGAACGGTGAACAGATTTGTCTCGTTTGAGGATCTTAGAAAATTAGTATCATCTGCTTATATTAGATCTGATTTTCAGTCTTATGGTCTACTGATAACTTTTATCAGAAAACCATTCAGACATGCTCCATTTATTGGTTTTCCGGCAGCTTATTGATCATCTCAATGGCAAAGCAGAAAAGTGATGGGGATAAATGATCTCTGTGTGAACATCCTTTGCTATTCCTGACTAAGTTCAAAGTTGCTAAGTTAAGATTACCGTTTAAGTAGAATCTATGCTTTAATTTAAAGAAAGATATAATGTAACTGGAACATAGAAAAGAAATGGTTAGGCAGCTCATGTTTGTTGCTTAAGTGCAATTGTGAAGGTGATTCAGTTTGTAAGTATTGTTTTTTGTGAAAAATAACTTCTTTTTTTGAAAATGGTAATGTTGTATTCTTCAGCATTAAGGATATGCTAGTGACCTGCAAACAGAGGGGAACAAAAGAAGAGGAAGGAAAAAAAAATACCTACAAGGATCCTAATAATAACTTATTTCTGGAGTACTCCGAAAAGGAGGTGGCAGGTGACATCTTCAACTTGAATACTTGTGTTAGGCATGGAAATGGTTTAAGTAATAAAACCTAATTCAGGTTGAACTGTATTAATCGTCTCATAGGTTTTTAACTTTTCTCTTGAAGGGACGAAGAATGTAAAGACAAGAAAGAAAAAATTCTATGTTGATGCTAATCTAGACCACAATAGTCCAGTTGGAGACATAGAGCTTCCTTTATTTTCTATACCTATCAAAAACCAAAGAAAATGTTTCTTTCTTTTAATCATTGACCCAGGCATTATAGTCCTTCTATCACTTAAGAGCCTAACTATATGTACGGGCGACAGAAGATGATACAAGTAGTATGACAACAAGAGGAATGAATGTATTTGAGAAGTAAATATCTACTTTCTCTTTGGAAGACTTTCTCCATTAAGTGAGCACTGAAAAGGGAGCCTTCCCTGCTATGTATATGAATTGGCGCTTTACATTATTATTGGATAGATAGCAATTTGTTTCTACATGTGATTTTATCTTTTTGGACCTTTTTATGTTAAGGAGTAAACCTTTTGCCTAGACAGTCCTGCTTTTTATTTACTTCTATAGCTTTGTTGGACCTCTGCGGTAAAAGAGAAATTCTATATTGTACCTCTTATTATTTGTCGAGGTTCCTCAGCGAGGTTTTAGCTTTTGAATTATGAAGAGGATTAAAAGAAAAAAAAAGAATACTAATTGAGTAAGTAGTGAGAACATATATGATGATTGAGAATATTTTAACTAAATTATGTTTAAAATTCTTAGTATTCTTAATTATGACACAATCATGAAGAATGCTTCCTACTATTAACCTAAATCTTACAAAGAATAGCGACATAACTCTCTCAACTTTCAGCTCAAGGTGGTGAAATAACTTGAGTCTTCTAACTAACAAAAGAAATACTAAAACAAAATCACAGAAATAGTAATCAATCACCCAAACAGTGTTGGCGAAGTAGTATATGAACAAGTAAACAATCACTGGAAAGAAAGGGCTTTGAGATCTTTCCTCGGGAATATGCTGGTAATTATATTGTGAAAGGAATTGCTTATAACACACACAAAAAAAGAAATTTATACTCAATTAGCTGCTAGACTCCCTACATGCCTAGGATGTGATATAGTTTTTTTTTTAACTTTGCCAGATTGTACAGAGCTCCCAACACATTCTTAGTGCTGTTTTAAATACAATCTTTGCCATTTTCCAAAGAAAATAAAATCTATACTCGATTAGTGCAAATAGCTGCAGTGACATCAACTTTTAAGACATCATTAGTGTAGCTTGAATTGGCACCAGAAGAGTAATAAAGAAAGTTGTGGGAACAATGTTCGAAGGAGCGATAACCAAATTTCAATATCATGAAGAAAAAGATAGGTGGCAATATTTGGATGGTTAGCAACACATGAAGCATGTTTAACAATAAGATTAGCTTCAGTGGAGACTCCATGAATCAGATGTTTTCTATATGAACAATCCCCTGGATTAGTCATCTATGACTTCATTGCAGCCAACGTGTCAAATATGGGCTTGTTTTTAGACATAGCTGGTGTTTTTTGGGTTGTGCACAGGAACTGAAGCAGTTGTTGAACTGCTGGCAGAGATAGAAAACAGACAGAATAGACACAAAACATAATTATGTGACATTGGTGAGCTTTCAAAAATAGCATGTTAACAGTTAGGGATGTTCTAGATTCCCTGAACCATGGTTAAGTTCTTTTGTATTTTCTTTGGTACTCACTTGGTACGGGTTAGTAAGAGAGCACTTCACTTAATTAATAAAGAAACTATAAAGAAAAAGCCGAGGAGAATAAGTTCTAGAGAATATTTTACTTGAAGGTTGCTAGAAGAATGACTAGAATAGTGTGCTTAGATTTGTCGTGCCAATACATTCATTGCCAAGGCAAATAAAAATGGTCTAAGAGTTGATCTTTGATGCCACTTCATAGGAAGTGCTTTGAGTCTCTTCCCGTTGTCCTAACTCAGGCCTTGGCTCTACCGTATGCACTAGTGTATGCCGTACACCTTTAGCCTTCAGCACTTCCATCAGAACTTTGTCGTATGTTGGGTTGTAAGCCCCTCTTCTTCTCCTTATATTGTTCCAATAATTTCCTAACTAGATGAATGAAACTTTACGGCATGAATCTGAACTGGTTCTCGAAAATAGAAACGCCTGTCCTCACCTTTATCTCCATCACCCTCTCTTAAATTTGTGGCTTTGGAGTTTATACCTCTATAGTTGTTGCAATGTTGAAAGTCTGTTGTACTTGTACAACAGATCATTGCACTCCACCTCTATTTTTTCGGACACTATTGCTGCCTTAAAACACGACATTAAACAATTCAGTCAGCCACTTCATACCTTCCTTGCCTGTGCTCTTTTCAAATTCCATCAGGATCTTGTCCGGCTAATCGCTCTTTCCCTGTGCATCCTTCGAATCACACCCTTAACATTCACAACCTTTATTCACCCACATGCCCAAAATTGTGACGCTTCTCGTAATTCTCCAAGTCTCTTAGCACAATGTCTCGATCTCGCCTTTTTGTTCAAGAGTTTGTGGAAATATAATTGTCACCTCCGTCTAATGAGTGCCTCCACCACTAGTATTTTGTCGTCCTCATTCTTGATGCACTTTACTTGTCCCTCCGGCCCTCATCTATTAGGCATTGTGTAGCCCATACAATTTTCATCCCCACCTTTGATCTTTAGTTTTACATTCAATTGTTTAGAAGTGGTCATTTTTGTCGTTGTAATTACTAAATTACCGCCTTCTTTGTCTTATATCTTCCCTTATGTGTCCGCTATTCCTCTTTATTCTTACTCTCCACCATCTTCACTTCACCACCTTTTTTGCTTCCATTTACCTTGGTCGTCCCCATTCCACAACCAATCCCCTCTATGTCCACTAAAGCTACCCCTCGAGACCTAATCATGTCTTTCAGTGTAAGAAGGTTGCTACTTCTAGATGTCTGATCTTGATATTAATTTAGACCTTTATCCAAACAAAATATAAATTTAATCCAACACCTAATCCTGAGATGTCCCACTTATCCCATCAACTTGATGTTATTTTATCTCACCTCCCAAGTGAGATGAAATAGTCAAAGGGTTATTTTACCAGGACTGCAGTCCCGGCCTCCCGGGATAGCTTAGTCCGTGAACCATACGAGCTCACGTTTAACTAATCCTGCGTGCTGATATGTAAGTTCCACATTCTGTGAGATTTAATTGTGGCTTTCAGTAAAAAGAATTCTACCACATCTAGATGTCTTATCTTTGATTATTTTACGTGAAGGAACTTGACAATTATAGATCAAGCTTTTCTGTTTTGTTATGAAATCCCAATCTTATTCCATGACTTTCATAAAAATTACTGTGATGGCATTTTTTCTCTGCTGACTTCTATTTGTTATCAGTAAGTACGCATTTTGGCCAAACAGGTCCTAAGTTTCTGTAAGAAGATATGTTTGCGTAGGTTTGTAGAAATAGAAGTCTTTAAGTTTGTGTGATAAGAAATTGTATAGAATTCATGTCGGGGTTCTAAAGATAAGGGTAGATCGACAGTACTTTTCCAATACGTTACTTTGTGCACTAAAAAGGGAAGGAGAGAGAGAGAGAGAGAGAGAGAGAGAGGGGGGGGTTCATGTGGATCTTTGATGTGTCTTTTTGTGGTGTATAGCGTGTCACCCGAGTAACTGTTTATATTCCTTTCAGTATGAAGAAAAAAATGACGATGTGACTCCTGTTATTTGATTGCAGATTTCTTTTCGCGGAGAGATAAATTTATTGCTTACTTTCACGTACAATGGGGCACAGAAATTCATTCAACACGCCTCCAATATTTGGGACGGAAGATGATCAGAGATGGAACATTCCAGAGCAGGCACCTTTGCCTTACGGTAACTACTGATATTCCTTTTAGGTGTACAGATTTCGTTTTAAAATAAAGCTTGACTTATCTTGCGTCTTATTAAGTTTTGTCTTGAATTTGTCTCTATTAGTAAATCCATCACATGTCTTGGAGCTGCAACTTCATAACATCCATTAGCCCTCTCCATCTAAGCATATCATAATGGTTCCTTTTCATTCTTTCCCTCCCTTCGGTTATTAACGTGTAATGCCCATAAACTCGTTAAATTATGGAGATGATCCTATCATCACATTAGTGCTGAAATTATTAAATCATTCAATACTCCATTTTTATAAGATGGAGAATCCATGTGGTGAGATGATGTGTCCTTCTGGTGCTTCATGATTGATCGTCTCCTGTAGGCAAATTGAATTAAAATTGGTTCATGTAAAATCTACCTACATACATACAGAACCAGTGGATGGCCTTTGAACTAGACTGTTGGACTGAAAGAGCAGAGTTTGTCTTTTGTTTAAAGGAACTGACCTTGGCTAAACATGGAAATTACCAATCTCTTGTGGAAGTGCTGAGGGGTAGTGAACAAAATAACGCTTCTGGCTGTATAAATTGGAAGTATACCTTTGTTGCCATTTATATAGTCTGAAATAGGGAGGACATAAATAAACAGTAAAGAGCCTTCTCATGTTAATGTCTCCTTTTTAATTGCAGCAAGGACTGGTGTTCCGGAAAGCAGTAATATTGTTTATCCAGTGGATAGTATGTCAATTGACGGGGCACACCATTCTTCTCAGGGGCATGGCTCTAGGCCAAGTGGATATTCTTCCTTGAATCCAAATATGGAAATTCCACACTGTCAGCCACAGGTTCAAGGTCCTCTTCATGACCCTTTTCTACATTCAGGTACTGGAGGCTTTCATATGATCCATGAGAATTATCCACATCAAGCATCTTCATCAGCCCATGGTGGCCAGACATATCATGGGGTGGATGGTGGCCTTGTTGACCTCACAATGGGTAGTGGGAGAGGGCCGTACAAACGAAAGAGTCCTGGTATACCTGCAGGTGGCGAAAGTGGTAGTACAAGCAGATACTTTGATGCTGGCAGTTCATCTGATCTCCCTTCTGAATCTTGGCAGGAGAAACAAAATCCAGACCCCCATTACACAACTTGGGGTTTACATCCTAATTACCGAGGTAATAGTCTGTCTATTGGAGGTGAGGGTTCTCAGAGGAATGTAAGAAGCAGAGCTGCATTTGACCTGCAAAATAATGTAGGAAGGGCTCATATAACAAGTACTCCTTCACATCACTCTAACAGCAGTAGAACATCCACTGATTATTGTAATTCAGTGAATTATCTAGCTCCAAGTTCGAATTCTTCAGCAAGGGAATGGAACCATACTGTCATGCCCCCTGCAGCTGCCCATGGGAGGAACTTCGCTCCTGGTTAGTTTCTTAAATTGTTTTGTCATCCTTTGCTGTGTTTTGATTTTAATAGTAATATTTTGTTAACTGCAGATGCAAGCTTCTTTTGTTATGATATGAACCACTATGATATGGTTACCGGCAATATCTCTACCTCTCTGGAGATGGGGAATTACCACAATGATTTCACCTCCAACAGAACTTCCCTTCCTCAGCATTTACCTGGCAGCTTGCCATCTTCAAGGGGAGTCAGAAGTAGCTATAGTCAAAGATCTTCCCCTACTTTTAGGACTTCTTCAAGCTATTTGCGTCATGGGCATGTTGGGACTTCAGATGACGGATCACAGTTGTTTGCTGAAGGTTACTCCTCAAGACATTCACGACCATTGTCTACTCTAGGACTGCGTAGTAGTGACCGAAATGGGAGAACTAGGGTATCCAGTGATAGGTACAGATCGTTGGCTGGTGAGGCAGGTTTCCGTGAGCAAGTTGCATCTGAGGTGTGTATGCTCATCTTATACAAGATATTGGCATGTCGTCCTTTTGTGAGGGGCTTAGCTTCTGTCTAGGCTCCCTATATCAAATACACAAGTCTTTTGCATCATGGGTGTGACTAGTTCTCTTGCATTGTGCCACATGAATGTCCAGTCTTTTGTTCTTCTTTTCCTCTTACGAAAATATGACCTTTCTGCTTCATGCCAGAAGAATGTCCCAGTCTTATTTTGCTTTACATGTGTGTATATGTATTGGTGTAAATCCTTTTCAATGTAAATCATAGATGCTACCCAGGTGTATTTTGTGCATTTGTTTGATCAGCTAATGTAAGGGAAAATGCGCTTCACTTTGAAATATCAACTGGGAATATGCATGCTGGTATATTTTTGATATGTAGGTCTGTGTCATCAATTTAAGCTGTTTATGTTTACTGTTTGACTTGTGATCCTTCTTACATACAATCAGTCTTGATGAAATTCATTCAAGGATCCTTAATTTTTTTCATCAATTTTTATTACTCATAATTTAGTGGATTTATTTTGCTTTCTTGTATGGACACTTGTGTATTCCAATCTGGCATAGTGGGGAATACAAATAGCGGTAGATGGTAACTTGGCTTAAATATGATATTTTCGTTCATCATTTCTACCATCTCTGAACCATAACTCCTTTGAGACATGTTGAATGTGAAACTTTGGGCTTTCAGGGCGTGATTATTCCAGACCGCTCTACTTATTATGGGTCCAGAAGCATGTTTGACCAGCATAGGGACATGAGACTTGACATTGACGACATGGGCTATGAGGTAAGTTCTGAAACTCTACTTTGTTTTGCTTTCTGTTTTCATCTTGCAGCCATCTGCTCAGCTTTGATACTTTGACATGAACAGGAGCTTCTGGCTCTGGGAGAAAGAATTGGCCATGTCAATACTGGCTTGTCGGAGGAACTGATTTCAAAGTGCATGACCGAGTCAATTTATTGTTCCTCAGGCCAAAATCATGAGGAAGGAAATTGTGTTATCTGTCTGGTGAGTATTGTTATCTTGTCAGAAATGTATATAATGCAGGTCAAATAGTAGATATAACGACTTCAAGCACTTTAGATCCTTCCTTTGAGTTTACGCGATGAGTTTAAGTTCTCTATACTCCAATAGCATAAAAAATATTTACACAATCATTGTGATTTATTAGGTAGTTATCTGTAACCTGTTAAAAATGGTGATTAACATGCTTAAAGCCTTTCCATCATTATCACTCCGTGCGAGTTCACTCGTTGATACTAGACTCTACGTTGTGCAGCTTTTACCAGTCTATTAGTTTGTATGGTGCTTTTGCTTTTGTTACAATTCTGACAAGTGCATTTCGTATGCCTTTGCATTTGACAGGAAGAGTATGTTAACATGGATGATGTCGGGACGTTGAAATCGTGCATCCATGATTTTCATGTTGGATGCATAAGAAGATGGCTGTCAATGAAGAACGTGTGTCCAATCTGCAAGAAAACTGCGTTGGATGACGACGATCTGAAGGAAAAATGATTTATTTAGCCATGACTTGCTGGGCATTGAACTTGTGTAAATATGTATTTAGAACATTTCTCAAATGGGGGGAAAACTAGTATCACCTCATAAGTTTGTACAGAAAATGTTTTTCATGTCATTAGTCGTTTCTTTCAAATGTCTAAAGAATCTCCTTATTACCTCTTCTCTGTTTTACTTTCACTCTCTTATCAAATCGAAACGTAAGCTAGACCTGTGAAAGTCAAGCACTAGTGCGGGGGACCTGAGAGGCGGTGGTTTACCTTGCGGTGGATGTCAGCGGTTCGAGTTCGGAAGGTTCCTTTCTTCCCTCCGCCTTTACGGGGACGTAAGAGAAGGTACCTTCTTTATTCCTCTTCCTTAATGCGGACAATATTACACATATATAATTTTAAGTATTCACAAGTAGATCTGTATAAGTAATATGTGTGTCCTATGTGGCTATGTGACATAATATATGTTGGACGATATGTAGGATGTCACGTATGATATGAATTACCAGGTAGGATGTCAAGTAAGACACACGTGTTTACTTGTTCAACTCTAGGTTAAGAGGATGTCTAGATTAACTTTAAAGTTGGTCAAACTTACTTTCAAGTCGGTTTTCGATTTGTAAAGTGTTTGACAAATATAAAAATGAATTTAAAAAAAAAGTCAAAAATAACTTATTAATAAGTCAAAATCACAAGTAGTTCTTTCCATACTATTTATTTTTTGACTCAAAAGTCATTTAAGTTTGACTTTTTATTTTTGACCTAAAATCTACCTTGTAAGTCGATCCAAACAGATTCAAGTGTCTACTTGATGCACAGTCAAAGTTGGAAAGCATAAATATCAAATGATCAGGCAAATTTATATCTATGATTTCCCATTGAATCATATTGTAAATTTACCTTTAATTGAATTATATCTTTTGAATATCTTTTTTAAGAGTTACGTCACACTCCAAGTGTCTACTTGATGCACAATCAAAGTTGGAAAGCATAAATATCAAATGACTCTACAAAGTAATACTAGTCAAAACATAGAGTAATTATTTTTATTATTATTTAATAAGTATTTTATATAAAAATTGATCAAACATGCATTTTCTGATTTATTTGCCTTTTTTTTTCCTTTCTAAGGAGTCAAATTATACTAGTACAAAACTAACTAAACAACACCCAAAATAGTCAAACACATTTAATGTTTTTCAATCCAAAATTTTCATAAATCAGATTTTATATCCCCTTTAAGTGTATATATAAAAGCACCTTGAAAAGTAAGACTTAATTCAAGTAAATTAAAAAAAAAAAAAAGAACTTGTGTTATACTTATATCTAAAGAGATGACTAGAGTTTGCTTTACACCATTGTCTTGGTTTATGCAATTTTAATTGTAATCATTGATGTGTAATTTATCTCTTTTTTTAACTATCTGTGTCTAATTAATTTATATTCTTTCTTCTTTTTTAGTGAAAAATTTGTAGATTATTATTATTTATTTATTTTGTGTGTGGGGAGAAAGGTTCGTAGCTAGTTTTATGCAAGTTAATTACTTTTACTTTTATTCTTTAAAGTTTTAACCATTAGGAGAATATCTCGGGTTTGTTCATCATTAACAAGAGATTTCAGGTTCAAATTTTATGAGTAAAGGATTTACGATATAAAAAGTGATTTATTGGATCATTTGTCAGAAAATTATATCGCGTTTCAAATATCCTAAATATCTTTTTTATTTCTTTATGGATTTGAACCTATTCGACTTATATATGGATTTGTTATACCAATTGATTTTGAAAATCAAATGATCAAAGCTTAAAAACTTTTTTTTCCCCCACTTTACCCTATCTATCAACGTACTTGACTTAGATCTGAATTTGTTGCGCTAATTTCGAATATCAAATGATTAAACTGTAAAATTATTTCTTTTCCGATTTACCTAATCAATGAACCTACTCAATGTAGATTTAAATTTATTATGTCTACTTAATTTTGAATATCAGATGATTAAATTGAAAAATTAATTTTATTTTGACAATTAAGAAACTCTTTTTTTTTTTTTATAATGATTTTGTAGGCTTGTTTTGCTTGGGAATTGCAGCAGATTCACCAGTATGCAAGACTGCTGCAGATTGTTATGATCATTGTTATCCATTTACTTATGCCGCTGAGTGCAAAGATGGGCATTGTTCTTGTAATTAGGGATTACGTTGCTCGTATTCTTTAAAAACGTCTTAAAAATATGTGTTAAATTTTTGAAAATTAGTATATTTTTGGAAATTCAATATGAACGTAGTATTACTTTTAGAAAGTCAGAGCAACACAGATTAGGAATATGAATTTGTATTTTAAACAACGGATGTATGAAAATTCCAAAGCACTTATATGTGCTAAAAAAAACTAAATTATATTAAACTTTAATGGTTATTATACATGTATCGGTTCTTTACACACACACATATATATATATATATTTATGATCTTGAATTAATCTTAGATAAGTAACTTAATAAATTGAATTTTTTTTATGGGAACTCTACATATATCATATATAAATAATATAATACTTGACTAATTAACATTTATTAATCGAGATGAAACACATAAAAACTTATATTGTAATTTCAATCACAAATATTACTTCATTTAGCATAATCTAATGTTCTTTTCAATTTTCTGAATTTTAATTCCACCCACATTATTAATGATGATTTACACGAAAAATAAGCATATTGTTCACATAGGGGTATTAAATCGACGAAAACTAAAATTTAGATGGGTCATGACTTGTCTAATTTGACTCGTACATGTATCGATTCTATACTAAAATGGGTTAGACTAAAAGACTTGTACATGTATCGATGTTATACTCAAATGGGTTGGACTAAAAATTAGAGGGGTCATGACTCGTCCAATTTGACTCGTACATGTATCGATCCTATACTCAAATGGGTTGGAATAAAAGACTTGTCGATTCTATACTCAAATGGGTTGGACTAAAAATTAGATGGGTCATGACTCGTCTAATTTGACTTGTACATGTATCGATCCTATACTCAGATGGGTTGAAAGAAAAGACTTGTCGATCCTATACTCAAATGGGTTGGACTATAAATTAGATGGATCTGACTCGTCCAATTTGACTCATACGTGTATCGATCCTATACTCAAATGGGTTGGACTAAAGACTTTTTGATCCTATACTCAAATAGGTTAAACTAAATTAGATGGGTCATGACTCGTACATGTATAAAAAAAGTAAAGGGGCATTCCGAGAATTGAACTCGGGACCTCTCGCACCCTAAGCGAGAATCATACCACTAGACCAAATGCCCTTATTTATTATGAATTTTTGCCAATTTAATTATAACTTTTATTGGAATCTTTTTTTTTTAAATTTGTTTGAGTGGAAAGTTAAATGTTCGAATAGTAAATATATATATATGTGTTATGTATATGAATTCGAGTTGAGAAATATCATGTAACTTGAATAAGACTATTGAAGAAAATTACGAGTTGCAATATATCAACAGTCTTTGGGTTAGTGACCCACCCAAATATTATTTGGGCTTAGACGGATCAGAATAAGCTAAATAATGAGTCATAATCTAATAAAAAAGTTATATAATTAGATATATTTCATCATGATATATATTATTGTTATTTATACTTTTAAAATAGTAAAAGAATTTGTTATAGTAAAAAAATTTATTAAGGGGATATCAATGGAAAAATTTATTAAGAGTATCAATGGTTATAGTAAAAAAATTATAAGCAAAGCTAGTAGGACTTGAACACTCAACCTCATATGGTGTTTGTAAGCCCCTAACCAATAGACTAAACATTTTTAACTTGTTTTAAAGTGTCAATTTATGTATTTATATTTATAAAACTAAAATTTAACCACTATATATAACGTAATTTTCTGACGAAGGGGTATCGCTCGACACTCCTTGGACCAAGGTAGGTCCCCCGGAGGCGAGCAAATTAGTCATGTATCACAAATATATATATATATATATATATATATATAAAGATAGTTGTATCTTTGCCATACTTATCCTTATATATATTAATAGTCCATGTATTATTATTATTATTATTGTATTATTGTCAAAGTTAAGAAGATAACAGCTCATAATTTGACATGATGGGTCAAGCTAATTAAGCTTTATCCTCTTAAACACACACACACACACAATATATATATATATATATAGAACAAAAATAAAGAATGAAACAAAATTTCATCCATTCACATTTTAGTCAATAATATCTCTTATTTCCTTAATCTCTTGGTCACATTAATGCTACATTGATCATCAACAGATAGGACTAAACTTCACCATAATTAAGGGTTTTGGTTTGGGTAACAAGCATGAGATGCATAAATGACATAATGAGAATTGAGGATGTGTGAAAAGTTGGTTATGGTGAATCTCATTTGAGATAGATGTATAAGTCGAAAAAGAATTAGAAAGATGATTAGATAAGATATGATATACTCGTAACATACTAAGGACATGACATTAGATGTGAGAATATGAAGATCGAGAATAACATAGAAATTTAGTAGATAATTAAATAAGATCGTGTTTTCTTCTTCTTATTTTTATTATTATTATTATTATTATTATTATTAATCATTGATACTCTATTATTATCGTATTCTTCAATTTTATTATTATTTATATTTTTCTTCATTTCAATTATCTTCTTTTCTTATTGGTTTTGTTATGCTTCACTTAAATTAAAGATTTATCGAAAATAACTTCTCTGTTTTCTAAAATTCTATTTATTGAAACACTAGATATGTTATTGTCGTGATTGTGTTTGAAGTACTCACAAAAAATAGAGAAGATCCTGATATGGAATACTTTCTTTTTTAACAACTTCATAATACAATCATGATTCAAAATAATCAAAGCTCTGATACAAATATCAAATAACGAATTTTTAAAAAATGGTACTTGGACAAGAGAGCCGAGTGTCGGTGATTAGTGTAACTCCTATTTTAATTATTATTATTGTTATTATTATTATTATTATTATTATTATATTAAGTATGAAGTTTAGTTTTCAATTAACATTTCCTTTTATTCTCTTTATTTTGGGGTCTTTTTTCAACTATCAAAACAATTATTAAAATAAGAATATGACAAGATTTTAAATAATTTTTAAA